TCCTACTCCCCGTGGCCTTCAGGAGCAGTGGATTCCAGCTTAGGATCTCCAAAGACTCCTCGGGACACACACACACACCCTGCCAGCAAAAGGCTAGCAATAGAAAACAAGAGTGTTTTTTATCTCCTTGGCACTCCCTATTCTCGAATAGCGAATAGCTACATTTCGGCCAGCCAGGACTTCCCCCCCCCCAAGCCTACTCCTCCCTCCAGTTGAGTTTGGGGGCAAATTCCCGGAGACCCGACCCTGCTTAAGGCAGCTCCCTTAAGCCCCCCCCCCCCCCATAGAACAGAGTGAGACAAGTGGGAGAAGTTGCTTTTTAGGTTTCGTTCTCAGGAAAACGAGTGAAAGATTGCAGCTTCCGCCTCCCATGGACTCGCAGCTGATTTCCTGCAAAGGTTATCTCCCTGCCCCAGATTGCCGCTGACCTCTTGCAAAGGTTATCTCCCTTCCCCAGACTCACGGAGGAAGGCTTCGGGGCTAGCTGCTGGTGGTAGCGTCACAACATAAAAACAATCCAGATTGCTTATTTGGAAATAATTCCCAATGGTGGGTGAATATCAGCATTCCAGCTCTGACTGACAGCTTCAGGTGGGATCCCCTTTTCCCTCCCCATCCGCAGGTTAATGTTATATTTCTGCGCACTTTTTTTAAAATGTGGATTTTTCTAAATCTACCTTCCATGGCTTTTTAAACGCACACATTTCTTATGCGGTTGGAATTTATTTTTTAAAATTTTGTTTCGGGTCTGTATTGTCCCCCCCATCTGTTTTTTTCTCTTTTTTTTCTTAAACTTGCATCCCAAATTTTTGAAAAATATAGACTCCAAAGTCTGGACACTTTCTAGTTCTCATTTCAGTTTGGAAAACGCAAACTGGATAGATTTGCAATGAAATGGGGAGCATATAAACCTCTTGCCCTTCCCAATTCCCTCAACTGCTGGATAGCTCAGAGGCTTAGACCTCTGTCTGCAGAGCCAGAGGTTGGGAGTTCGATTCTCCCCAACGGGGATTCCCTGACAGGGGCTGGACTAGATGATCCACCGGGGTCCCTTTCCAGCTCTGCTGTTCTAAGAGTATTATGACGCTGTGCCATCTGTTCTGTTGGTCTTCATGTTTCTCATTTAGTGGTCTATCGTATTCCCTGAACTTTCAGCGGGCGGTCTTTTTTCTCTCCTCATTTTTAAAAGGCTCCTTCCTTCCAGGAAAGGTGCTCTGTGTGACCTCTGAGTTTTGCTTTCCAGCGGCCCGATGTCCCAAATGGGGATCATTTGGCCAAGCCACCCCAGGCCGCCTGAAATTCCATGCCCAAATCCGTCCGGGGAGGCGAAGCATTAACCCAACAAAAGTGGGCATTGATGCCGCGGCTTCCGAAGAGTTCTCAGGAGAGAATAAAAAGTTTTTAAGTCTCCTGGGAACCAGCTCCACAAATCCCATTAGAGGCAGCTTTAAACCGGCTAACGGGATGTGCTATTTTGGCAGGGTTGTTTGGTTTTGGGGGGGAGAGGAGAGAAGGAGGAGAAATCCAGAAGGATGA